TTACTGACGATCACGTTACTGACGTGATCGTTACTTATCTATATATATATATATATATATATATATAAAACAGACATCCAGACCGTCTTGTGCTGTGGAGAACAACCTTTGGCACATTAAATAAAATAAACCCATCCTCCCCATCTACTGCATGACAGCCACAAAAATAAATACATTTTTTGAAATCATCAATAGAAATAAGTATATTTACTCAAGTACTGTATTTAAGTGAAAATGCAGTACAAAGCGAGAAAGTGTAATAAAATAATTTAGCAAAATATAAACAATAAAGTTTATCAAGAAGGTGCAAAAAGCAAAGATACAGAATGCCAAACAATGCAAACAGATGAACTGTAAGTGTCATATATATTACAGTAAGGTGCCAAACATGTAACGTTGTATAAGTATGCAAAGTTCACTTCTCTGGTTCCCTATAGGCTGATACAGAATGTTTTCTACTGCTGGGTGTATAAATATGTATTTGTTGTCTTGTTGTATGAAATACTTGTTGAGATCAACAGCAAAACACAGAAGAAGGCAACAGCGTCATCAAGTGATCATACAGGAAAAAAGAAATTTGGATTCAAAACAATGAGGAATAAATTAAAGAAATAATAAAAAACAAATAGGAAAAAGAGTAAGACATAAAGAAAACAGGAGTAATTTAGATGAAAACGTCTTAAATGTTACAAAATGGTTTGTTTTTGAAGGACAGTGAGTGGCTGTAATGTATATCTTTGACGGTAAATGAAAACTTTTGCTTCACAATATTATTAAATATGAAAATGTTGATGTCTTTCCAGAGTTTATTAGTGAATCTGCAGGTTTTCTGTAAATAAGAAACATCTTCAGGTTGAATTTTTATTTATTTTAAGAATTAATTTTATTTCTTTAATAAAAAGAAAGGAAAAAACAACCATGTCCATAATAAACAAAGTTCTTATATCATAGTTATTCTACTTGGAAACGTGGGAACGCTTCATGAGGACCACGTGGTAGACGTGGACCAATCAGACGGCGCCAACTGGACGTTGCGTCCGGAACGTTCTGCCTCCGTCCAATCACAGGAGATCGCGTGGAAGGCCACAGGAAGAGTCGCACCTCTCGACCAATAAGAGCTCGGACATAGTGTTACGCAGCACACACCGGAAAAGACAAAAAAGAAAAAGTCACACACGTACAGTCAGTTTACCGGCGTCTGTATCGAAGAAGTGTTTTCTTTAATTTGTCTTAAAAAGGTTTGAAAACGAACCGAAAGATGTTGTCGTTAAGCGGGCTGTCGGTGGCTCTCGCGCTCGCTCTGTTTCCCGGTTCCGGTGAAGCCCTGAAAGAAGGAGATTGTGAAGGTAGGCTGTGTCTGCTAGCTTTGGTTAGCATTAGCATTAGCTACAGCGTTAAAACTGAATGGTGTGTGGAGCTTCACCAACTTCAACAAAAACAGATATTACAGGAAGTCACATGTATAGACACAGCTGGTGATGATGGAGGTTTAGTTTTAAACGGTGGTGTGTGTGTGTGTGTGTGTGTGTGTGTGTGTGTGTGTGTGTGTGTGTGTGTGTGTGTGTGTGAGAGAGACAGACAGACAGACAGACAGACAGACACCCTTGAATAAGATAATTAAACACGTATTTATTTCTTATATTAACCACCATAGAAACCTCATTACAGTGCTAATGATATTAAAGCTGCAGTTAACTATATTTCTTTGTTAAAGATTAATATTCTGATTATGTCCTCTTTGTATAAAAAATGTCTGACAATAATGCAAATTATAATTTCTAAGAGTTTAGTTTATTTACAAAACAGTTGAAACACAGGTATGATTATAAGATATAATGAACATAAGGTATGTGACACCTGAGAATAGGGGCAGATATGAGTAAATTGTATTTAAAATATATGTTTACTAACATGTTTTATATTTGAATAACTTTATGTATTCTACAGCAATATTTACAACCTACAGAAAGATGAACCAGTCCATAAATACTAACGACACTAACCAATAAACATGTATTCCATCAGGCTACACACCGGCTAAGTAGGTACGATTAGATGCAATAAATAGAGACACATAAGTGTAAATATGGTTTACATTGATTTCAGAGTAGAGTAAGTATTTTAAGAAGTACCCGGCTTTAACAGGCAAGTGTCATTTTTTTCAGAAAAGTGTTTATTTGCTGTAAAAAAGTGACATTAAGTCCTGAAGGAAAGAGTAATGTTACGTAGTTAGCTTCAGGTGGATGTTTGTGTGCATAACTACCAAACCAACAACTATAATATCTCATTTCACTAACGGCTAGTGTTGAGTAGCTGCCTCCGCGCGACGTTGCCTAACTCGTATTGTCCTCTTTCTCTCAGTGTGCATAACCTTCCTAGGGAAGTTCTACCAGTCGCTGGAGGAGAACAACGTGAACTTCAACAGCGCCGACATCGAGACGGCCATCGTAAAGACCTGCAAAGACGCCAAAGGCAAAGAAAACCGCTTCGTAAGTGAACTACAGAGTGTTATTGGACCTGAGATGTGTGGAGAGGGACAATATAACGTTCTACTTTAGTTTCCATCAGGCTCTGGTGTTGGTGTCACTTCTTCTTCACTTTGTATTTTTGTATTTAATTGTATTTTGTGATATTGAATATTTTTACTTTATGTATTTACCTCACTCTTATTGCAATTGTGTTCCATTTTTCACAGGTGTCAGTATCATTTTACACTTAATAATTCTATTGTTCTTATATGTTTTGTATTTTCATTCTATTGTTGTCTTTAATGAAACTTTCCTTCAGGATAAATAAGTTATATCTTATATCCTCTTATTTATATATATATTATTCTTCTCATTCTCTTCCTGTAAATGTTGGGTTAGTGAAATGAAGGGAAGCGGAGAGCCACTGGAGCTCTTTTATACATAGTTAACCATAGTCTATTTAATGAATTATTAAGTCATTCATTCTTTATGATTAATTCTACTTGAATTGTTTTTTTTTTTAAATTTCTTTAATTTTTTTTCTCCCCTCCTACTCTCTTGCCCCCCCTTTTTTGTGTGTGTATGTATATATATATCTATCTACCTGTCTGTCTATCTATCTATCTATCTATCTATCTATCTACCTGTCTATCTCTATCTATCTCTATCTATATACACACACAGTCTTTATGTATTCATGTGTATATTAAAGATATCCCATATTACTACAGAACCTCGACACTCGCGCATTAACCACATCTCTCTCATACACCACACACTTTTGCTGATGCCTTCGTTTCTCACGTCTAGTGTTACTACATCGGGGCGACGAGTGACGCGGCCACGAAGATTATCAACGAGGTGTCGAAGCCGCTCAGCTACCACGCCCCCGTGGAGAAGATCTGTGAGAAGCTCAAGAAGAAGGACGGTCAGATCTGTGAGCTGAAATACGGTGAGGACAAAAAATGTTTCTACTGTTTAATACATATAAAAACACTCGCAGCCAAATGTTCCATCTCTCCAAACTACAAGAATTACATTAAATTAAGAGAGAGGTGTGTCCTAATAAATATTTATTAATATTATTTAAGAAATATAGGAAAATATTAATATAAAATATTTTATAATTTAAAATATAATTATATTTATTATATATTTATAATATTTTATCATATTAAATTGAATAATAAAGATTGATTATTGATTCAAAGATAATTGACCGTCGTTATGCATCACAGGGTTGCACAAATAAATAAACCATTTGCTGCAAAAAAACAAAAAACCCAATGATGATAAATAATTGCGTCAGGTCTTCAGGTCATAACTTATTGTCCTTGTGTGTCCCGTGCAGACAAACAGCTGGACCTGACCACGGTGGACCTGAAGAAGCTCAAAGTGAAGGACCTGAAGAAGATCCTGGAGGAGTGGGGCGAGTCCTGCAAAGGCTGCGCCGAAAAGTCCGACTTCATCCGCAAAATCACAGAGCTGATGCCCAAGTACGCGCCCGCAGCCGCCAAAGCACGGACTGACCTGTAACCAAAAAACACAAATCCCAACCACACAACTTTGGACTTCACTGGGAACCAGACCGCTATCCAGGAAGAGGAAGAGGAGGACCAGGAGAGGAAGAGGAGGAGTTTATCTGGGGTTGTTTTTTTTTTTTGTTTTTTTTTGTTTTTTTTGGGAGGTGTAATCCTTCCCTGCTTCAGAAGTATAGATATCGGTATAAGTCCTACACTATACTTTCAATCCATGTGTCAAGAATGAACTCATTAAAGGGGAATTACGAGCATTGTTTTTATTTTTTTTTGCTTATGTCGTCGCTACGGTTCACAGTAAACGTTTGCTGATTCTCCAACACACAGATATTTTAAAACTGCTGGAAGGTAAAGTGACAGCTTCCTGTTTCACAAACTCACTCGTCTTCACTTCTCCGGCCAACGAAGTCTTAACGCCAAGATTTTTTTTTTTTTATAAATATAGAAACGTCACCCTGATTCTTCCGGTGACGCTCCGCCGACGAGTGAACACGGATGTTGTTCAACTGAAACATTTTTTTTTTTTTTTCCCTTCTTCTCCAAGTCTATCTTCAAACAATACCGACATATTATGTGCATCAAAATAATGATCAGTCGCTCTCAATCATACAGGACCCCGCTAGTTCCCTTTCTAATGTAGACGATGCTGCTGAGAACGTTGGCGCATATTTTCACAATAACGAGGTGAAATGATTACAGCCACCAAACAAACTGTTGATGTACGTGTGTGAATATTGACCTGGAGAAAAAGAATGTGAACCGATCCTTAAAGACCTGAGTTCAGATCTTCAACATCAGTCTTTTTGTTTCAATCCATTCTTAACAAAGTCACCCATATTCAAATTGTGCCGTTATGTTTAAAGAGAAGTTACCTTCTTGTTCTGTGTCTCATTCATGACACTGAAGTGTGTCGTCACCAATAATCCACGAGTTAAACTTAATTTTTATGTGCCAGTTTTACGTGATGCATAATTAGTGCATTAATTTAAACACAGGTGCTACATGACACGTGTCATTAACAAGCGTCCAGTGAAGAAACGCTCCTGGTTTCTCTATTTCACGATCGTTTAAAGGAAGCAGCGACTGTTTGTAAAATAGGTGTTAATGTGGTGAATCAGACCCGTTCACTCTGTTACGTCTCCACAAAATAACCAACTCGCCCGAGATGTTTTATAACGCACTTGAAATGGAAAAATGTTTCAGACGTCGTGGGTAAAGCCAGTGTTCCTCGATTAGAAAGTATGATTTCGTAGGTGAGCAAATAACTATTTATAAAGCAGCTTTTTAACAGTCTACAAAGTGCTCTGTGAGGCAATATATTAGAAAAACTAAGTTAAAATGTAAACCCAGATGAAATCAGTGTAATAAAACTCAATCGCTAAGATGAGAACAAACTAAGAAATATAATAAGATAAAATAAAGCAGTAGAAAGACATCATATTAAGCCAGTCTGTAAAAATGATTATTTTTCGCCAAGGTAGGGATGTTTTTGTACAAGCTTTAAGTTTAAAGTTGTACAAAAGATAAAAATTCTGAGTATGGGTGACTTATCATTGACAAAAGTACAATAAATATTACGGTAAGATATATTCTAATAGGTGAACATTGCTCTGATCTGGGTACCAGGTGGTTTCTGTGGTGATATATATTCTGATGTTGGTGTTTGTGAACGTAACTCGTTAAATCGTCCTCGGCTCTCCTGCTGTCCCACGTTTCTCTCCTGAACACCGTCGGTTGATCAGCTGCAGTTTAACACAATCGGTTAAATTCTAGGATTGTTGAAAATTTACAATAAAAGAAAAAATGAAGTTGACTGACGGTTAACGAACGTTCAGAATGTTTTGAGTTCAGCTGTCGCAAGAATATTTATGGTTTATGGTTACATGGAAGGAAATAACTGTTTTCTTCCACATGTTGCACACTCACATGCACACACACACATTCACTCGCACACACACACACTGAGAATGGAGGATGGAGACTTTATTGTTTGATGTAATAGAAACACGATAAAATGTTTGTTTTTACTTGGAATGGGAAATGAAAACTTAAAATATGCCGTTTGTTTCACATTGACCTTTTTTTCATGTCATTTGTTACGACTGTACTATTCTACTTTTTCATTAAAATATAAAAAAAAAGCCACGTTGAGCAGAGGATCGTATTGTTTCATTAACTTAAGTGACAAGTGGAAAATGAATGTTTGAGCTCTGTAACATTCTAAAAAACAGATTCCAAATAGCTTTAAAGTCCCTCAAACTGTGTTCTGTATCAAAATATTTAATATTAACGTTCAGGCGTCAAAGGTCCGGATTCACAATATGAATATTGGATGTTATTTATTATAAATAAAAGTTTAATGAGCCACAAACTTGATATTTACAGAATATTAAAGGTACGAGAGAATTAAAACAAGTAAAGATAAATGAAACAGAAATCAGATATTGTTGTCAAAGTCTTAAGCAATAGAACAAACTGTGTTATGATCATCAGTACACATGCAGATACCCTTTGATATCCTTTTCTACTAAATAGCCTCCAAGTTGCAGTATTTATAGTATATTTACTCAAGTACTACACTAAAGGACAATTTTAAGATACTTTCCTGGAGTATTTCTATTTTATGCCACATTTCAGAGGGAAATATTCTGCTTCTGCTGCACAACATTTATGTGACTAGTTAAATAAAAACAGATTAATACCTACATACAAACCACAGCATCTGCTTTCTGGACCAGATGCAAAATAAAAACGCTGCTTACACATGAATGCACCAGTATTATTAATAATAATATATATATATATATATATATATATATATATATATATATATATATATAATACAATATCCTTCAATCCATTAACACCAACAGGTGTCATTCTGCATATTGCTTTTACTTTTGATACTTTGAGTACATTTTGCCGATATTACTTTGAATGTAAGACTTTTACTCGTACCAGTACTTTAATAATTTTACTTGAAGGAGCTTTTTATTGTGATGATGAAATGTAGTTTAAAGAGTAAATGTTTCTATAACAGGATTTCTTGTGATGTTAGTTGGTGTAATCCTGATGGCTTCCTTTATTGTTTATTCATGTATTGCATCAAAATAATTCTTTGAGACCATTTGCATTTATTACAAAAGTTTACATTTAAACTTTAAAAACACGACTTCTGTCCAAATCTTATTTTCTTTCAAATAAAGAAATAAAATAAATAATAATAAAAAACTGGTCCCGCTTTGAAAATACTTTTCACACATAAGTAATGTAATAAAATAGCTGTATTGTTTCTATGTCCCAAAAAAAATTGAGCGTGTGACGTCAAGACGTCCGCCGACGTCGCGTCATCGCGCGCTCCGCCCTCCTCGGGGGAAAAGCGCACATTCCTATTGTCCAAGATGGCGGCGTAGGAGCAGACCCCTCATAGGGCTGACATGTTTTTAAACGAGTTTACGCTTTTATTCGGACATTATATGCGAGTATTTAAACGTCCAGGCAGCGGTTAGCGTTTCTTTACCGGAGCGGTCGTCGCCTGCCACGTCGGAATTCGCTGCGCAGGCGCGGGAAAGTTTGAGCTCCCAGCATCCTTTGAAAAGATGAAGAGGCAGGCCGGGAGAGAGACGAGTCCGTCCAGGGCCGCCACTAAACGGATCCGGGAGCGGGAGAGCTCGCGGAGAGAGGAGCTACCGCTCCCGCCGCCTCCGTTGGCTCTGCTGCTGGCGGAGAGCCGGAGCTACCACCGACGGAGCCGGAGCCGGGAGCGAGAAAAACCGCGGCTACGAGAGGAGCGAGCGGCGGAGATCCACCACCGACACGAGCTCAGCCTCCTCGGTCGCCCGCCGCTGCGAACCACGACGTCGGCGGCGTCAACAGCGTCAACGGCCGCAGTGGAGCAGCAGCTCCCAACCGCCAGACCCGGCACCCTGGAGTACAAGACGCTGCTCATCAGCAACCTGGGCTCGCAGGTGTCGGACGAGCACGTGGAGGACGCGCTGTTTCACGAGTTCAAAAAGTTCGGCGACGTCAGCGTGAAACTGTCGCACACGCCGGAGCTCGGCCGGATCGCATACGTGAATTTCCGGCACCCGGAGGATGCCAAAGAGGCCCGGCACGCCAAATCCTCCAGGTTTGGTTTCATCTTCTTCTTCCTTTCTTTTTTTGATGTTTATTGGCGGATGGTAAATAATGAACTGGTGCATTACCGCCACCAACTGGTCTGGAGTGTGGATCAGGATGTCTAGTAGTTTAGTATACAACATTAAAATAAAGAGAAGATTAAAGAAACAAAACAACTGGCTCATATTTCAGGTTTGGTTTCTTCTTCTTCTCCTCCTCTTTCTTCCTCCTCTTCTTCCTCCTCTTTCTTCTCTTCTTCCTCCTTCTCTTCCTCCTCTTCTTCCTCCTCTTTCTTCTCCTACTTCGTCCTTCAGTTTAATGGCGGACTACAAACCAACGTTTGCGGTGCATTCCGCCACCTAACTGTACCAGAGTGTGTAACATCATGATTTGATGACAGTTATCATTTAAACACAATAATAAAGTTATTCATAAATAAGCGTTGAGTCCTGTATGTCCTAATCTTTAATCTACAGAAAGTAACCTCTTCTTTTCTACTTCTACTTCTCTCTCTCTTGACTCCAGGTTGGTTCTGGGCGATCGACAGCTTAAAATCGAGCCCATGTACGTGAGGAGGCGGAGCGTGACGCCGCCGCCGGACGCCGGGTATTTGCCCCTCCACCCTCCGTACCCTTACCGGCAGCGCTCGGTGTCCCCACCGGGTCCCGGTGTGAGCAGAGACATCAGAGACATCCGAGACATCAGAGCTCGACACTACGCCCTGGAGACCCTGGGGCTCAACAGAGAGAGGGAGAGGCTGTTGGATTATTACGGCATGCTGGACGAGAGAGGCCGACCGTATGGCTTCCCTCCGATGCCGGTGGTGGAGGATTTAAAACCAGAGGATGACCAGAGAGCGACCAGCAACCTGTTCATCGGCAACCTGGACGGCAACGTGTCGGAGGCGGAACTGAGGAGAGGGTTCGACAAGTACGGTGTCATCGAGGATGTCGTGATCAAACGGCCGGCGCGTGGACAAGGCGGCGCGTACGCTTTCGTGAAGTTCCAGAACCTGGACATGGCCCACCGGGCCAAAGTAGCCATGCAGGGGCGGCTGATGGGGGGCAACCCGATAAAGATTGGCTACGGAAAAGCCAACCCCACCACGCGGCTCTGGGTCGGCGGCCTCGGGTCCGGGAACTCCCTCGCCGCGCTCGCTCGGGAGTTCGACCGCTTTGGAAGTATACGGAACATTGACTACGTGAAGGGGGACAGTTTTGCTTACATTCAGTACGAGAGTTTGGACGCCTCCCAGGCCGCCTGCACCCAGATGAGGGGGTTCCCGTTGGGGGGACCCGAGCGGCGTCTGAGGGTGGACTTTGCTAAAGTCGAGGAGAGCCCCTCTCGGCCGTTTCCCACTGGTTACCAGCCACCCGTCGCAGCCCACTACGAACTCCTCGGAGAGGCTGCTGTCTACAGCCGCCATCGCAGCCTGGAGCGAGAGCTGAGAGGAGCCAGGGACCGCTCGTCGCCGCCGCTGCCACCGCCCCCTCCCTCCCACAGCCTCCCACCCCAGAGGGAGAGAGAGAGGGTTGTGTTGGAGAGGGACTACCCAGCCAGCCCCACCCGCAGCCTGGAGAGGAGAACGGTAGGAGTGGAAGCGTTCGGGAGGAGCGCGAGAGGAGCAAGGAGCCGGAGCAGGAGCAGGGAGCGGTGGCTGAAGGAGAGGGAGGAGAGGCGCAGCAGCAGGAGGAGGAGCAGGAGCGCGTCCTCCACCGACCGGCTGATGGAGGAGCGGGGGAAGGAGAGGGGGAGGTCGAGGGTCAGAGGTCAGGGAGGCGTCGCCGTGTCTCCCGACGCGAGCCCGGACCGAGCGAGGGTCCGCGCTCCCGACTCCACCACCGAGCCGAGAGACCACTCGCCCGAGAACGGAGGAGGAGGAGGAGGAGGAGGAGGAGGAGGAGGCGGCGGGCGACACTCTGCGGCCGCCAACGAAGAAGATCCGCCGTCCGGCCGCCACCACGGCAGCAAAAGATCCGGCGAGCATCTCAACAACCATCACCATCGAAACAGCGAGGTCGTCGCTGTCGCCGCCGCCGCCGTCCACACGGACACCTCCTCCTCTCCCGGCACGCTGTCTGAGTTCGCCCAGGCATCGCTCGCTAAAACGTGGCACGGCTTCTTCGCCCTCAAGAACAGCAGTTTCCCCGCCAACCTGTACATGCTGGAGGGCGGCTCGTCGTTCTTCAACGCCGTGATGAGGGACACCCGGAAGAAGCCGTCGCCGCAGAGCCAGAACCAGAACCTCCAGAACCAACCGGGCCAGCTGAAGATCGCCCAGCGGCTCCGCATGGACCAGACGCGACTGGACGAGGTGTCGCGCCGCGTCAAGCTCGGGCGTCCCGACGGGTACGCCGTCCTGCTGGCCCTCCAGGGCCCCATCGACCGGCAGGCGGCTCCTGCGGCCCCCGAGCCGGGTCTGCAGGCGCGCTTGCTCCGACACCTGGTGACCTACCTGCGCAACAAGGAGGCGGCCGGCGTCGTGAGCCTGCCGGGCGCTAAAGAAGGAGGTCCCGGGGCCATGCTGTACGCGTTCCCCCCCGGAGTGTTCTCGCAGCAGTACCTGCAGGCGGCCAAGAGGACTGTGGGTAATCTGGACGAGGAGCACATGGTCGTCGTGATCGTCAATGACACTAACTGACACTGAGGCGCTTTACGGAGGCACGAACACGACTACACAATACTTCCATGTTGTTGTTTTTAGATGCATTTTATGCTTTTATTCGGTATCCTATCAATGACGCTACATCTCTTATTACTTTATATCACTGAACTTGTCACATTTACAGGTGATGATTTTACGTGACGGGTCGTTTTAAACAACACTTAAAGGACGTTAAAGTTCAGTATTCTGCACACACTGTTGCTTTTATACTCTTAAGCTGTAACGTACAAACACTAAACCTTTGGTTGAAATGCTCGTTTACTTTATCTTTTCATCAGGAGATACCAAGTTGTTGTGTATATCACATATATACTCTGAGGTTTTTATACAAGGTGATTGTACTACAATGATATCTGACTCCACAGCCCGTAGAGACAGGAGGGACTTCCTGAACTCGTCCCTGTGACTGTATATTTTAACATCGATCTGTGTTTTTATCAATGAACCATTCCAGTTGTTTCTGCTCTTTTAAAGGTGCGAGTGTGTTGTTGCATGCAGGAGAAGAGAAGAAGAAGTTATGTTTTGTCTCTGTTTGCTGGAGGTCACGTGATCAGCTGTCATACTGGTGCGAGGTCCGATCATCACGGTTCGGATTTTATATTGTATACAGACTTCTTATTAGATCTGAATGCATCGATCCATCCGTCTCTCATCCATCCTCCTGGTTTTCTTTACCTTGTTTTAAAGTGTGTTTATATGATGGCTCGTCTCAGTCAGTGTTCTACTTCAGTAGATGTTCTGCTGTGGATTCATTGAGAATGTTTTCACCTCTTTACTCTCTGTCAGACGGACCTGAAGCTGTTCTCTATGATCTCCCCACACACACACACACACACACACACACACACCACAGACTCCATCCACATAAAGAGTGGTTTAACCTCAGAGCACCGGAGCAGCAGCTCTCCTGCTGCCTCCATCTCTGACTGCGTTTGTCATTGTGTGACTCTGGTGATTTGAAGGTTTTGGGTTTAACGGGTTTGTTCAGATTCACATAAAGATGTTTTTGTTTGATGGTTTTGAAGAGAACAAAGACTGATATGCCGGTTTATGTTCTCCGTCTGACAGCAAAGTAAAGAGGCGAAAACATTCTAAATATAACGTTCATTTAAACTGATATAGATTGTTTTAGGAGTCTAGAATACGTCCACAGCAGAACATTACTGAGAAGAACTGTCATACCAACACACTTTAAAACATCAGTACTGTCCCTTTAAATGCATCCTCATTTACACCTTTGATTACTTCTAGAAATATTCAAACACCTGGGTGGTAATTTAATTTAAACTCATTTCAGTCATTCTTAAAGTATCTTTAAATGTCTCCAGCTGTAATCAACAACAACATTCCGGCCGATGATCATGAATGAAATCGATCTAAAGCGGTGAAATGATCTGTGACATCATGTGTGCTGCTGTTCACTGAGTGAGGATGTGTGTGGGTGGTGTGCGACGCCTCACGTAGTCCGGGTGGTTTATTATGTTTAAAGCTCCATGTTGTTGTTGTTGTTTACTACATTTATTGTTTTATTGTTTTTTACATACGCCGGGTTGTTTCTGTAAAACCTCTCGAGGAAACTGAGTCAGATTTTAACACCGAGTCTGTTTTTATCCAACCGGAGCAGAAGTGATGAAGAGTGATGAAGAGAATAAAGAAGAACGAGACGGAAGTTAAACATGTTTTTATTTTATTCTCTTTCATTTCTATTTGTTTTCTTACACGAGGAGCTAAAATACACAACTAGACTCAACTGATTTATCTTTTATTGATTCAGAACTCGGTCTTTAAAACGTCAGAAGAAAAGTAGGTTTTTAAAGTAGATTGTTCTTCTGAAGTGAATATTTTCTGGTTTCTCTCGTCTGACGATAAACTAAATATTTGTTCATGTTGAGCTTTAAAGAAACACTGATTTACATGTTTATTCCACTTCTGACCTTTTATAGATCAAACGACTGATCGATCATAAAATAATGAACAATAACAATAATCTTTAGTTATTAGCGTTATTAAGCTTCCTGTCGACAAGTTCAACTTCATTTGTACTTCTTTCATTCACTTACGTCAGAGTTAATCCGGTACATTTAAATACAGCTTTAGTATATTTGTACTCATAGTATTTCCATTTTCTACTTCATTACATTCCAGAAGTACATATTGTACTTTGTTTACTCCTCTTTGTTTATCTGACGGTTAATTATTTGTCAAACAATCATGCTCATAAGAACAAAGTAGTTTTATTCTGGAAATGAGTCGTTAAGTTTTCTCGTAGAAAAAGTGAAACATCTGCAAAAAAGTGAAGTCGTAATATTTCAGTGTTTTCATTTTAAATCAACTAGTTTCATCATTTCTGTCATTTTTAATCTTGTTTAAAGACACAAACGAAAGTTTTATGACTCAGAGACAAAAGACTTCTGCTTTTTGCAGATGAAAAACTTTATTGAGAGTTAAAACTTTGACAAACTGCAACAGAAGATGCTGCTCACACGTTTACTCATCTTATAATCCTTTAATATTTAATAACATTGTGAAGCATCGTGAGTACTTTTACTTTTCCTACTTAGAGTAGAATTTGCTGTCAATGCTTTCGTACGTTTTAGATTCGATGTGTTTTACTTGTAAAGGAGTATTATATAAATGTGGTAATACTACTTTTTCCACCACTGGAAGTAACATGTTCACACATGATCGATGTTTTTACTTTATTTCCTAAAAGTACATTTAGTGTTCTTCATCTCGACACACGCAGTGTCTAATTTATTAGTTTTTGGTTCTAAAGTCGCTCCATCCAGCTACATTATTATTATTATTGTTATTATTATTATAGCGGTTATGAATCTGTGGCTCGAATGTGTTTTTGATTAAAATAGTTATGAAGAATATCAGAATAACAACTGGTTGAAACTGAACGATAATCAGCCTGAAGAGCTTCAACGTGTCCTGGAACCCAAATGGAAACTCAATAAATGAGGTCACGTGACCTAACGTGTTGCTGAATGTTCATCACGGCCTGTAAATAAAGTTTTGTACAAAACGCAGTTAAAGAAAGTTAAAGACAAGACTTTATATCCTGAATAAACTGGTTTATGAGCGATGACGTCACTCAGGCCTGCAGCTCAAACACACAGATTCCCTCTTTGTTTGTTCTCTGTGTCAACATATTAAATGTGTATTCTGTAGTAAAATAAAATGTAATAAACATTTAACAAATGTACATTAAGTATACTCACTTGTATGAATTTTCAGCTTGATAGAAATCAAGAAAATAATCAACAGATTAATAGTTAAATAATTTGTTAACAGTTCCAAATGAGCAAACAGTGAAAATTCTGCTTTTACACAAATACATGAGTTAAACAAATCTATTGATATAATATGAAATAATATCACGTTTCACTGCCTTTGTGCCACAAAGCCACACTGAACAAACAGCTCTAAACAATAGTGACGGCACACAATGGGTTAAACCAAGTGAACGTAAAACAACGCTGACTGTGATGTTGTTTGATTGGTTATTCTAGGTGTCAGTCAGCCACACCTGCGGTAATTGGTTGCAGGTAAAGCAGGGGGCGGGGTGAAGAGACCCTCTCTCTTGGGGAGTGCTCCGTGTAGAGTCACGCTGATGACTGTCAGAACGGATTTACAGAGGGAGTGATTACCTCTTTCCTTATTCAATATATTATATCTGTGTTGGGTAAATCAAATTACATGTAATCAGATAAACACAGTTTTTAGAGTTCAGACTTCCGGGTCATTGTATGGAAGACCTCCTTCGTGTGTTGATCAGTGAACCAGTGAGTGTTGAACATATCCACCCTGTGCTCTGGGTTTAGGGTTATAAAGAGGTTTTAATTGAGCTTTAACCAGGAGCTCCTGTAGGTTCTTATTCCTCCTGAATGCTGTAATGGTGCTGTGGTGATGAGGTACCTGTAATGTACTCTACTAACAGCAGACGGGGAGTATGTGTGTGGTTACAAATGGGAGGTCAGAGGTCACCACTGTAAGGTTAGTCTGCTGAAATGTCCTGTGAGATTTTCTAAGGACGGTCCTAGAGCCCCCTCTGCTGGCCAAAGATAGGAACTGCACTCTGACAGCCGCATTGAAATCCTCCTGTGTGCTACAGATTCTATGAGACCTCAACAACTGTGACGTAATCAAGCCTGCATGAGTGTGTTTCGGGTGGAAACAGCGCGTGCGTCTGTCTCTTTAAAGAACACGTTTACATCCAGTGTGTGAGTCTCATGGAACCCGTCAGAAAGTCAAATTAGGAAAATTCTCCATTAAATTGAAAGTGATTTTTGGTCAAACGGATCTGTAACAGCTGTAGTGACTCTTTGTCTGCTCTGTTTTTGTTTGGGTGTTTCTTACGGCTTGTATGTCCTCTTTCATGTCAACACCAGTATCGAGTCTATAATATCAACAGTGAACCGGATTAAGTTGTGAGGACCGTGAAGTGTTTTCACTGTATTGACATGACGGTACGTGTGACGTAACAGGGTGTGTGGTGGAGAGAGGCCTGGGGGGGGGGTCGACCTGGAGGGACCTCCTGTGGTTCGCTCCACTTCGTGGGGTCCTTGTCGATTCTAGGCAGCATATAGGATAATCTGGCTCTGGGTTCCGAGCTGCCCAAATGATGAATTATTTTCTCGTAGAGAGTTTGGATGATTTTATTCATAATTGTGAGTTTGTGAAACTACACTGGACATTTAAATAATCTTGTATAGATGAGAGCAGCGGTGATAACGCTTCTCAAAGTTGTGTTTTAATTAAAATAAGAGCTCACTGGTGTGTTGGTTGAAAGCTTCTTTAGTCTAAACTCACGATGAAAAATATCATAATTCATGTTTTTAGAGGTTCTTTATAAAAAGGCAAACCACGTGTACATTGTGATCTTTTTTTAATGTAATACAGTCTGGCGGTTATACATCATCAATGCATATGAAGGAGACATGCATATGAATGAGTAGTTCGTGTTCCATGCAGTACTTTGTGTTTCCCTCCATGTTCTGCAGTCAGACCACAGCCTCACTCCACAGACCGGCCACAGAGCGACACCTGCTGGTGAGTCGGTGAAACTGCACCGGTATTTTTTTTCAATGAAAACAGGAAGAACATCATGTGAAAATAGAGAACAGCGTTTATTCAGTGGAATAAAACCAGTCGCGCTTGTTAAACACACACATGTGGAGTCTAGAATGAGTCTGAATGAGGTGGACTACATGTCCCTCTTGTCCCCTTCAGTCCTGATCACGTTTAGAACACAGACTGGACATAAAGAGGTTCAGGGTTCTTCATAGAAAGTCCTGAACAGTTTATCTGCAGCAGAACAACACGATGAAGACATAAAGCTCCAGATGTGACTCTGTGTTGTTTCCTCCTGGTTCGTCTCTCCTCTCCCACAGCTTCTGGTCTCACCTTCTGGTCTCACCTTCTGGTCTCACCTTCTGGTCTCACCTTCTGGTCTCAGGCTCGTGTCTCGTTTATCCTCAGACCATCTCCGTCCTCTGGAGTGTCCGAGTCAGCAGAAACCTTCAGCAGCTCCACGAGTCCTTCGTTCAGAGCGTCCGGCTGAAAGAGCCGGTCAGGGTTAGGGTAGGTCACGTGTCTGTGTGTCCTCCCCCTCCCCGTCTCTCTCTCTG